GGGGGGGGGGGGGGGGTCGAAGAAAAGCTGCTTCCTTCCCTTTCGTGATTTCAAGGTTAACTGAAATATACAAATATACGTACACATAATAAGAGTTTGTTAAACCCTTCGGCTATCCTTGCATTTTGTATCTGTAATATATTCGTTCGTTTTCTTACTTTCTTTCCTCAAAATATTTACGTCAAACGGACTGCCGGGATAATTTTGGATATTCGACGATCTCAGTGTGTTATCGGGGACAAAGGGTTTTGTAGTCTAGTGTGGTACAGCCAAAAGGGGGGTGGCGGATGTAATGGTGGGTGGTGAGCTTCGCTCTCTATACAGGAGAAACCAGTGGGAGGGGGTTTTCAGGTTTGAAGCGTCGGCCCCCTGGGAAATGTGCGTAATCGCCATCCTATTCTGCAACGGGAACAGCTTCTCGCGAACGTTTGTTTGTTGACCCCCCCACCCCCACCCCCACCCCCTACTACTCCACTGTAACGTACTGTATAGAATATATATATTCTATACACGTATTCCTATAGACATTGCCTGTGACGCTTTTTCGATCAGAACGTTCACCAGTGTTACGTCTACGTCGCGAGAAAGAAAGTAGCATAAGGATTTCAGCGTGAGACGATAGATCCTGTCAGCGAACAAAAATCCAACTGAGAGTATTATACAAGAGAATTCTTACTTCGGTGGTATTCCCAGGATGGAGATGCCTATTAATAAAGTATTATCCTCTCTCTCGGTCGCGCTCAATTCCTTTGAAAAGGTACGAGGCACTTACTCTCAATTATTCCTAAGGATCACCGCTCAGCAAACGACCAACCTTGTGTACCCATTTACGTATCTTTCTCAAATTTGGAATAAAATAATAGGCCCCCCGCCCCCCGCCACTCTGAGAGAACCTGATTAAAATTTTATTGGATATTTCGGATTCAAACTAAGCGGGCGGAAGTTGAGCATTGCTCGTGCTCGGTGCATTCTGGGACGTATGGGACGCATAAAAATTTAATACACGAAAATATGTTTTGATTGGAAAATATGGAAGACGATGAGGTCTATTCGGTTCGTCTTTTCGTGATGTGTAAGAGGATGCTGTATATAGAAAATGACTGAAGGAGATCTGGTACGCATGTTACGCAAAGGATGAAGAAGAAGAGACAGCGTAGACAGCAAGTGAACTGAAACAGTAAAGAACGGCAGTGAGCCAGTCACTGTGGTGTATGTGGCAGAATAAAGCGGAATTCAAGGCAACGTGGAATATAAATAATATTATGCAAATATCCACGTAGATGGAAGAGTGTACTCGTTCCGAGTTAATTTGATGAAAAACATCAGAAGTCAGAGGGAAGAGACGGAAAAAGGCGCATCCAGGAAGGAAAGGACTCTTTGCTATGAGAAGTAGGCAGGTACTTGATACCAGTGGGGTACCACTAGCCAGGTTGTATCTGGGATGCCTTAAGTCCTTTAACCTCTTAAGTGCAATGGAAGATTGTACGTTTCGACCTAAAAATATTATCAATTGAAAAGTCATTTATATTCGCGTGACTCGCCCTTCCAGGGTTTAGGGTTGCTGAGTGTTGAGTGAAATATCGAGGTGTCCAAATTTTTAAAATCAAAATAGCGGATTCCAACGTGGTCAACGAAAATGAGACTAGTCAAACTTTTATAAAAATTGTTCTTCGCGAACCAACGACTGTGATTGTTTAGGGATGTTGATTTAGGGAGACTGGTACATTGAATCTTTTAAGTTGAATTTAATAAATTTTAACTCTGATATGAGTTCGGCGACCTTATAAATCGGAACAACGATTTTCAATCAAATTGGACTACCTTCTTATTTTTTGGCGCCATATTGTATCAGTTATTTTGAATTTTTTAAATTTTAACTATAAATTCGAATTCACCGACTTCTTATTACCATTCCTCCAGTTTTCTTTACCTTATCCTTTTAGCCCTCTTCCTCTCTCTTCGCACTCGACTTTCTTCATTTCCACACACACGCTACGTAATAACAGCCTTACCACTTTACACCGCAAGAATGCCATATTCACCTTTTTATTTCCTATCCTCGAATCAACGCGTTTACCTAGAATAATCTTCAGGATAATATTCAGGTACACTTCGATCGCCAATAAAAGCATATATGGCGGCATCCGAATAGTGCTCAATAACTGCGTCGTTATGACCGCCGCTCAGCGCATCAGCTACAGTAGTCAAACCCCACCTCAGAAATATTTCAATAATTTTGATTTTCAATAAAAAAAAATCAGCTACAATTGTATATTTGCTAAAAAAATATATAAAATTTTAATAACTTCAAGTGGTACAAACACGCAAAACCTCGTCACCGTCTGTAGGTACAAGCTACAGTAAAAGGGCTCTACGGCGAATTGCTTGTAAAACAAGAGAAATGAGAGAAGTGACCAGATAAAGAAATTCAGATAGAAACAAGAGTTCGAGATAAGGGGGTATAGAGGGAGAAGAAAATTTGCTTCCGCATCGTAGCGTTAATAAGTGTAGAAGAAGAAAAAGGCCACGTGTTCAGAGTGCGACCAATCTCCTTTCCTCGGGGGCGGTTCTCATTGAGCCAACTGAGCTTGCTCAGGGGTTACCGAGGGTTGGCCCCAGGTTGGGGTGTCCGCGGAGGCGGAGAAGGGATACTGGGAAAACCGCCCTCACGGCGCGCCACGAATCGGGCGTTCAAATCACAGACACCAGGCACCGCGACGTCATTAGCTGTCGTTTTGTTACGAGATCCCGCGCGCGACGCACCTGTCATTTACTGCGTTCAACGACCACAGGACAATTACCATTAACCTAGTGTTTCACTTGACCAAAGAAAAGCCCACGAGTCTCTGTAAATCGTTTAACGATAATCACAATTATCAGCTGATTTATAAAATTAGTGCGACAGAAAATTTACCTGGAATTGGATGATTGAAAACTTTCAACGGCAAGAAGCAAGCTAAACCGCTTCGAGTAACGTGCATCCGCCAAGCGAATAATCGCTATCGTTGAGCTTGCTAAGAATGCGTCAAGTTATACGGATGGATTATACGAGGAGTGTAAATTTTTCTAGCACGAAATAAAAATAAGAGAGAAGGGAGAGTGCATCGGCTAGAAACTGATCCTTGACATAATGTACAGTCTGTACAGAGCATGGTTCAGTGGCGAAGAGAGTTACCCGCGAATGGAGACTCTCTCGCCACCCGACACGCTTATAAGGGTTGGAAACGAGGGTGAACACCAATTCGTGGCACATCGAGGTATCCTGGCAGCACACAGTGGCTACTTGAAGGCACTTTTGGCGACAGCAACAAGTACTGGTACGAGTTCGACATCCGCAGGAAGCGAGGCACCGGTAGGAGTGACGTCAGTTTCCGTGTCATCTATTGGTAAATAATAGAAATTTCACTGTGGGCAGTCCGCTGATGGTGAGGTAAGGAGATGAAGAACCCGAAGTAACGGAGACTGATTCTGTGATCGTAGGTGGAGAAGCTTTCGCCCCGCTGCTCAGCTACATGTACACGGGACGCCTGGAAGTGACTTTGGATAACATTTACAGCGTCTTATTAGCCACGCATCTTCTTCACATGCCCGGTGCGCTCGAGCAGTGCAGAGCGGCTTTGCTGAGACTCAGGGCACCGCCACTACCGGCACCTACGCCGAGAGCCAGCAGTGTCTTGAGACCTGTTCCTAATAGGATTATTGGACCGCCGTTATGCTGGCCACAGCCAGCGCTGTATCCCTCTGCTCCGGTGGGTCTGTCCCACCTACCGAGCCTACCCTTACCACCTACGATCCCTACTATACCTATTCAGATGATCCACGACACACGACCTTACAGGTGAGAATAACTCAGTTCCTCTTTTAGAGGCTGGTCAAGTGATAAAATTAATAAAATTAATGTAAAGTTTTTATCAAATACTGAAAGCGATCCTGCTGCTGCTGCTTCCAGAATACGTGAAACTTCAAGGTCCCCGATATCGCCCACGGACAACGAAAGAGCACGACGGTCACGTTCCCGTTCGGGAAGTCCTGAAGGTTTGCCAGCGTCACCAAGGAAACAGGACCGATCAGGAGAAACGGAAGAGGTGAAGGATCATTCCTCGCGGGGCCAGGCTACTGGGAGGAGTCCAAGTCCTTCGGGAAGTAGCGAGAGGATATCAGTAACGGATATAGAGCCATCGCGCCGTCGAGGACAGTCTCGTTCTAGTGTGGATACGGGAACAGGAACCTCCAGTGTCGTCTACGACGTAGCTTGTTGTGACGGTCCTGTAAGATTTCACCGTGTTCTTAATGAGAATTATTCAGCGCCCGCGGGCGGCGTGATCGTTCAGCGTCAACGTGCTTGCCTCGAAGACGACGTGGTAGTCGGTGAGAACGACGAGAACGGTCATCCGGATGCTTCACCCACGGATGATAATCATGGGGAACCCGGTGTAAGTGGTAACGCAAATGGAAGTTACACGTGCACCTACTGCAAGCACACCTTCAAGTCGCACTACTGCTATCAGAAACACGCCAGGAGACATTTGCTACCCATCGAGGCTTCCGAAACCACCGGAAGCTCACGCCAAGGCGGGAAGAAGCGCGAGGTTCGACTACTGAATTTAAACGTGCAATATTACCCGTGTAAGATTTGCGGTAGCAAGTTTCCGAGTTATTACTTTGTGCACAAGCACAGAAAATTGTGTCACTCGAACGTCGAGGATGCGCAAAGTGGAAGTGAGGAGACAGCTAACGCGGTACAGAATAGTAATTCGAATAACGCTTAGTGCTCAAAGAATTAAAAGAAACGAAAAAATTAAAAGTCTGTAGAATTAGAAGTCTGAGGAATGAGTATCGGCGTACAAGTTACACTGGAGATACGTAAAAACTTGATTAACAATCTTACTGTGAATTTTTTTAAATTCTAAAATTTCATCATAATCGATGATACACGAAGTAGGTAATTGTATCCTAATGATAATCTTAAATAAACCATCGATTGTCCTTATCCAATAAGCAACTTATGTAGTATGCAATTGCATGTAATTACACTTGGAAACCTAACCTAACAATTCCATTTGTAAAGTACCCAACGGACATTCGATAGCGTTCAATTCCGTTAACACCCTGAAGACTCCACATTGTTCATTCATAACCGCTGCGATCACTTCCTAGGTCACATTAAATATTTCTCTCATTCTCTCGGCCGTGAATGACTTCATAATTAATAAAATAATTCAAGTTCCACGCTTCTTACATTTCACCCCAAAACATAAGGCCAAGGGAGAGATACTTCGTCTTGATGTTCTAAACGTAAAGTGACTTTACCAGAACATGTGGAACCTCGAGTTCTTTCTTTGCTCCAGAGAACTACAAAGAAAATCCAGATTTTTACTAGCGACGTCCAATGTACGGGAACAATACTGTCAAGCGTGCTCGATTACTGACTGTGGCCAAGAAGTACAAAATAATTGCAATGTAAATACATGAAAATCCGTACGGAACGATATTCCCCGAAGTTTCTATTAGCTGGAAATGCGAAGTTATTAGGGGAGTGCAAAGAAAATTGAGGTTGAAGTTCTATCGTATAATAGCGTGGCACTCGTAGCAAGCTCGACCTATTATTTGGTTCAATTAATGAAGAACCAAAAGAACATGTACATATAGACAGTTCGGTAGCTGTGTTATAATTATGTATAGCAAAGTGAACTAGACGCACCAGCAATAGGTTATAGAATAAATGAACATAAGAGATGTCAGTGATTGCTGGATGCCACTGATGCATCCCTTGCATATGACTAATAAGCACACATCGCGTACTATCTATTATTCAGCAATTGTCGTATTGGATTGTCATGCAGCAACGTCGTTTTCCAAATTGCCACAGCGGAATAGACTCGTCAATAATAGAGGCAGCGACAAATCAGACCTGCAGCATGCCACTAGGCTCTCAATGAGTAAATAAAAAACGGGATGGGGGGAAAAAAATCCAAATTGCAGAAAAACTCACCAGTAGTTTCTATGGATTGTGCCTCCTCGTCGCTGGTCTCCATAGGAGTCGTATGGTTCTCCTTTTTCTTGTCCTTGGCTCTACCTGAAGCACTGGTACCGGTAGCAGCACCACTGCTTTTTTTCTTATCCTTCGAATCCGACGTAACCGTCGTGGAGTTTGTCGTGCTGGTGTTTATCGACGAGGACAAGGTACCCTTGGCATCCATGCTAAAAGATTGGATAAATCTAATATAATGCTCTGATACGTTTATTCTATGTAAAAATAAGAAAAATATAGGACGTAGCCAGTCTGACTCTAGCGTATCAAATTTAAACTAAAGGAAATTTAAGGGTTATTCCAGTCTCCTGGTATAAGATAATGATTCAACGAGAGGATAATATTTGAAAGCCTATACCGATGAAATCCGTGAACTCGACTCAATTAAGGTGATGAGCGCGGAGTGGCTTGGGTAAGCAAACAATATCCGCTAACCGGTAACCATTGATTAGCATTACAATCTGCTAATGCCCTCCCGATTTGATCCCTCAGTGAGCTTTCACTCACGGGCACAACGTCCCTCTCGAATCCACTTATGATTCGTACAGCCTGTGCCACGAGAGTTAGTGAGAGTCAGAGTGACTCTTCTCTAAACTAATATTCATCGCTCGCGGATGAGACCTGGTTGGGAGCGAGAGTATCGGAGAGATTTTTTCATTTTAATTTCTCAAGTGAAAGACTTGTTCACTACACGATGGTACTTGAATGTATAGCATTGTAATCGTTAAATTCATAGTCCAGTACCGCGAGAATGAGAATCAACGTAACTGGTTACAGGCATATCCTTTTAACGGGCTGTGAGTATTGTTTGAACAGTCAATGTCTTCCAGCGAATGAACGCAGTTCAATCAATCAGTTCGGGACTTTCGTTTCGATTTGGAATGAAAAATAAACTCCGCGCTGTCGAATCAACAATATGAAGCTCAATCGTTATGGAACTACTGTGTGTTTAAATCGGTAAAATCATTTCGATAATACATTTTTTTTCAGTTTGAAATTAATTCACTAGACGACGGAATTATTTGCAATACGTTTCTCTTCGATTGCATTATACGGAAATACATTTTTGTATTGTATTCACACGAGACGTTACACATTTTTACTACGTGTTCTTAACTTACGTGACTTTCATATCCTTTCCCGAAGCAGTTTCCGAACTTGATTGTGATTCCTCTTTAATATCCTTTACGTGCGACGAATCTTTAGAATCTCCTTTATTCTCTTTATTTTCCTTATTCGCCTCGCGCGCGTCCTTGGCGCTCGAGGTGGACGAGGTAGCGACGACTGTCGTCGCGGCGCTACTGGTCGTCACTGTCGTTGTAGAAGATGTCGTGGATGTCGTATCAGTTGTTAGACTCGCTCCCGAAGATGTAGCCCCAGACAACGTTGTCGACGCCGTCGTCGTCGTCGTCGTCACGCTCGTCGTCGCCGTATTCGAGGTTGTCGTCGTCGCCGCCGCCGACGAATTATTCTGAGGATTTTCCTGCGTCTTTTGCTGTTGCTCGCGCTGCAGCCTCGTCGTCACTCCCGTCGTCAATATATCTATAGGCCCGATAGTGGAGTTACTGTTGTTCACCTGAAATAAAGTTTTGAAAAAATTATTAACGAACTGATGACATTGATTCCTCGAAGGCTCTAGAATTATCAATTAATTACCTTATTGTTAGGATTATTTCGAGAACTTCGCGTCCTCTGCCGTGACTTTCGCAAAAGTTGCTTATAGTTCTCGGCTTTCTTAGTGAGGTAGTAGTGATGCACACAGTCGGGCACAGATTTATGCTCAAGCGATTGGGCTATCGCACCGAAATTCTTGGGATGCTGAAGGTACTTTTCCTTGAAAAGCTCGTGCTCCATCGAACTCCAGACATTTATGAGCTTTCGTTCACTGTGTAAAGCTTCGAGTTCCTCAGGCTGTAGTAAACCATTTCTATTTTGAAAGGCAATCCTTCGTTGCTTGGTGTCCAGCAGCAATGGCGGAATTACTGCGTATGAACGCATCTTCTTGTCCTCCATCTGAGAATTAATTTTTGGAGAAAAACTCCATGAGTATCTAAGTTAGCGCATTTTCATGAATTTCAAATGCTGTTGAGTCGAATATGATTCAAAGCATGATACGGCGTGATGTTGATGATTGAATATGCTTGTCAGCTGACTTACATTTCAATGAACGTGAAGGATGTGTACGCAGAATATAAAAAAAAAAGCCGTAATGAAAATGCGAGTAAAGCGATAATATTGATTTATAAGAATTGTAAGCATCGACTGGATTATTTTTACCAGTTATGGATCAAGTATTGAAATTAAAACTTTTTAAAATAAATACACTTTTTAAAAGTAAAGAAATACAAATTGTTAAGAAGGTGTATCTCTATATCCAGATATTGTCCTAAGGTACAACTGTACAATTAAAATTTGTAATACCCCTTATATAGTTCTACATTGATTTAGTTATAAGAAAATAATAATAACAATTGAAAAAGAATCTAGGAAAATTCTAAAGAAAAAATATGAATAATGCTCTGTTCTAATTCCTGATATTATAATATCATTCCCATTTAACTGGATTAAGAAACCATTAATTCTTTTCCATATGATCCATAATTAGTACGGAGTGCCAGGAAAGGATCAAAAGAGCGAATGCACGTTACTAACCTGACGAGCTTTAATGGAATTTTTTAACTCGGTCGACATTTCTTCCTGAGGAATCGGGAAAAATAATAAATCTTCCATGAAGTGTGTAAATATATAAGTTAACTTGTATCAGGTCAATAATTAGCTAACTCCGCTATATTTTCCACGATTTCGATAATAATTAAACCATCATTGACAGAGTTACGATTTTATATAAAAAGAAATAACACAGAGAAAATTGACCAAGTATAATAAGCGTAATATAGGAAGCGACCATATGATACGAGGACCACTCGAAAAATCAATAGTTAAAGTCACGGTTGTATAGCCGCTACTATTACCACCATCATCTACAGAACCATGCCATACGTTACCGACGCGGATCCAGGCAAACGTATTATCAACGAACGATGCAGATATCATTGGAATTTGTATCGCTCTGTATATATAAATCCCGAATAAACTGCAAATAAAGATGCGCGTCACGGGGAGGAAAGTTGAACGAGTAAGAAGATTCCTGGCACGGACGTTTAGTAACGTGTCATCCATTTGCTCAATTCCTTGGATTTGTCCCACCGGAGCCATCATCATCATCATCACTCCACTCTGCGTTGCCCTAACTACTATCATTGTTCCGCGACAGTCAAGAATCTCGTGTGATACACGCAAGTCTCCTGAGTTCCTAAAATTAACCGAAAAAAAAAGAAAATGATAGATTGTTATATATGTTATACCTCCTGCTCCTGGAGACCATCCATGATTTCTTCGAGGTCAGCCTCACTCTTGATACGAGCACCAACCCTGTTGAACCGTTCTTTATCCTCTCGCTGCTTACGCAGCTCAGGAAATACTTTTTCGAAGAACTCACGGTTCTTGCTCTCCTTTGACTTTCTTTTTTGCGTTGCCTCCAATCTTTCGACCTTCCTATGCCATTCCTGCACCAAAATCGCGTACGTCTGGGACTGTTGCCGATGCAAAGACGCACGATCTGCATGTTCTCGTCTTAGTCGTGCCACTAGCCTAGCTCGCATGCAGCTTTGATGCCTTGTTCGGTTCTCCTGGTATACAGTAGTGTCCGAAGGCTGGTTATACAATGGTAGTTCCACCTTCGGTCCTAACCTATCCAAGAGACGATGAGCCTCTTCTGCCTTTTTCTGAAAGTACAGACATTAGCAAATATATAGGAAATACTTTAAAGAAAATCTTAGGGATATGCTGCATACAAGAGCTTTCAGGCGTTTAAAATTTACCCTGTTCTCTGCATAGATCTTCTGTGCCAGAGACTGATGCTTCGGCTGCTGGGACTGTTCTTCCACTTTCAGTCCAGTGGCCTCCAGTGGCTTATTCGCAGTCTCCTCCAGCTCCTTAAGCTTCTTACGTAACTTACTAATCTGGGATTCCCTTTTGGCGATCTCTCTGTCGACCTTGGATATCTGCTGCAGCAAATCATCCTTATTACTCCTAAACTGCGCATCCTCCTGCGTACTTGGCTCGGGCAGTGTTGGAGAGATTGCTTCCGTCTGTGGTGTATATGCACCTGCTGCAGGCTGCTCCTGGTACAAATTTATCATATAATAAACGAAACAACGTGAGCATATGAAAAATTATATCCTACAAAATAAGAACGCTAAAAGCACTCTGAGACTTCAACCCTAGTTAGCACATCCATTATCGACCCTCGAATATACAGAATGATAAAACAGTCGGCAAAGAAGATCCCCTCTTTCGTTAGAATACCAAGGACTTTGCTGAATCGTCCCCGTACACGTAATACCCCTATTAAGAATATCAAAGTTCCTGTCGGTATTATATCGACTTACGTAAGTAACGCGTAAATTAAAAATGTGTCAATGACTACGTTTCCCATCGTGCCAGATTTAAACAGGCTCCTCAAATCTTGCACGATGGAGATATAGTCCATCATTGCAGAAACCCACCCTCGTATCTATCCTGAGAGGTTGTTGCAGCTGCACATGCTCTTGCTTGACGCACGTTTCAGCAGTCGAGAGGGTCTGACACGTGGATTGGGACTGAGGCTGACCAAGACGGATCTTCTTGAAGGGCGGTGTCTCCTGGACGTTAGCCATCTCCATGGGCCGGTTGCAGTACTGATCCGGCTGCATGGGCATGAGGCCTCGTGGATTCCTTACACCAGAAGCGTGATAGTCGGGCGCCGTTGGCGAGGGTGCAGGAGCTACCGAGGAAGGTGGAAGCAATGATATTCGTGGTCGGTCACCTCTACTGCTAACCACGTATTCGCCAGCCCCAACACCGACCCCAACGCCGACCCCGACCCCGACGCCCACCTGCGACACGGGACTGCTACTGACGCTGATGGCGACCCTTTCATTTATCTGAAAAACCCGGATAAAGGAAAAATGAATTTATTAATTCACTTTTGTCGGTTTTCCCCTTTTGCGCATTTCTTTTTTTTTTTTCTTTCTTAATAGGAAAATAGAAGAAAAGGTAATGCAACTGCATTATCGACACCTCACGACCCCGCACGATTATCAATATAGCATTCAAAGGGATCATGCGATCATCGGATACGCAAACGCGACGAACTCTCCTCTTCTGAAATCAATAAAATTCTGAAAATATTCATCCCGATAACGGGATGTCATGAACCTACGACATTAAATTCAGCATGACATTTTCATTGCTGAATCTTCGGGGTCAAAAGCATTCTCTTTCAAGCATAGCTGAATGGTGTCAGCCCCGAGGATATGACGACGTCGTGGATTAATGTACAAATAAAGGTCTAAAACGCGAGGATAACAGGACCGTACAGGGCCGCATACAAGAATTACTACACGCAGGTGTGAATGCAGCACCGTGATCGACCGATGTAAATAGTTAAGTACACGATAATTAGAGTAGAGAACACATTTTCGAAATAAGGGTAAAAATCTAAGGACAAAAGAAACCCAAGACAACTTTCACCCATCCATACCAGGAATCACGTTAGCCATATTGCCTTACTGCTATTAGTCCCAGCTTATTGTCGATGGAGTGGAACTTTTTCACCATGGAACACGAAGATCAAGCCCGTTCTCCCACGTACAAACCATGTCATAAAATTCTGATCATAAAACGGAGACCAAGCCAACATTGTGAGCCTAGAATGTGTCCCACTACTATTAGAACAAATAAATATCTTGTATCGACTGCAAAGACAACTTCTAAATAGGTTCGGGTTAGCATCATTTCATCGATTCAAAGCAGATAAGCACTGCGGAACCAATAGTATAAATAGGCATTTATAAGAACCATAGAAAACACGTCCAGTTTGCCTTTTTAATTTCCCGCCTATTATTACCATAGACGATACCTACAGTAGAAGAAACGAAAGCTTTCGTCCTGTTCAACTCACGTTTGAGGTGGCGTTCCGATAGGCGTCTCTAGTGTAGGCCGCCGCGGCACCTGGTGGGGGTGGCGTGTGGTTTATTGGTGCGGATGGTGCCGATGGTGGTGGTGGGGGATACGGATGGACGTATCGCAGACCTCCAGGAACCGGAACAGCGACGTACCCACCTCCGGCAGCACCAGCGCCACCCGTGGCGCCGGCGCTACTACCGCTACCTGGCGGACCCACCGCACCACCAGCAGATGGGGCACCAGAGCCCCCTTGCACGTATGAACCCCCAACTGTCCTGGGTGATACGGGGCTGCTGCTTTTTATACTGCTGTAATTCTGTGTCGGCCTGAAACACCATAAACAGTAGAAAATTTCAAACAAGCAATACAAAGTTGTACTGACGAGGTGGGTATTTGTCACCTTTTTATTATACAGTAATTATAAAACTTCTCCAAAAAAAAAAAAAAATGGTGCAGCTAAACTAGAATATCCAACCATCTTAATATTTCCATTAACATCAGAGCGCTAAAACAGTTGACCGAAACACGTCGAAGCTACCTTCAATAAAAAAAAAAATTAGACCATTTAAGACTTAAATACGTCATTCCTCACAGCTTAAAAATAATCGTCTAAAACAGTTTCGTCTCATAGCATTTACATTGATATTTTATCATAGGTAAAATTTAACTGACCCGACCCAATTAACTTTAAATCTTCTTCGGGAAACATCCCGTACCTATAACCTATTATAGGAACAGCACATAATGCTATTTGCATACGAGAGCGTTTCGCAGATTACATTAATTACGTTACGAAAGTACAGGGCTGCAACATGCAAAAACGTAACAGTCTAGCTATAAGCCACGCACGGACTTTCTAGGTCGTATCAAGAACGATTCGTAGAAACACGTTGACCGCAGACGTTACTGAGATAGAAACCAGTTGAAAGACAGAAGGACAAAAAAAGAAAAAACGAGAGAGATGAAAGGGATAACAAAAAATACATGAAAGGACGTACAACGCGTTATGAGTTGGACGCATCACCGGCAGCACACACGTGTCTCGTGCGTGGGTCTGTTAAAAGAAAAAAGGCCCAAAAAATCAAACGAGAAAACCAATTCGAAAAGTCACTAAAGCCAGTCCCTATAGTCTCATATGGGTCTATGTATATGACCATACCGTGGGATTTTGACTATTTATTTTTTTCTCTTTATTTATCTCTGTGCAGGGATACACATGCGATCTCGTAAGTTCTTAAGATGACAATAAAAAATCATCAGCATGCTCGCTGAGTGAGAATCGGTCAATTTCTTTTGTGCAAGGAACATGTATGTACATGGAATATGAAAATGATTTGAGATTCTGTTTTACGCAAACGTGCCGAATGCCTGTATAAACTGAAGTGAGCAACAGCTGTAGGATGGAAAACAGTAATACTTTGTCGCATGAAAGTGACATAATCGTTTATTACGATTCGTATTAGATTCGGTTCTTTGATATTTATTTCATACAAAGTCCAATCAAGTGTTGGATTCCGTATCGAGGGTTCAATTTATCCTTCTGATAATGCAGTTGCGAGATGTTAAAAAGCCTGATGAAAAATCGAGGAGGAAGGAGAGTATTAAAAAAGAGTGAACACTTCTTCAGTGGTGTAACTGTGGCTGGTATAATTCATATTACCTAATAATTCAACTTGAAGTAATGTCTAATTAGCAGGAAGTATATGCGTACGTTAAAAAGTAATGAAAAGTGGGTCATAAAGGCGAAGCACGAAATATAAAAGTGCCGTTAGTCGTCTGGGCAAGATTTTTGCAGATGCGATCATACACGTTCACCCGGTACAGAGACGGCATCGGCGTCACCGGAATTAGATCTAGATGGAGGAACCCGTTCGCGTAGGAAGTTCGTAAAAAGCGATTGGGACACTCCCACCATCGCTTCACGCATTCCCAGCTGAGTGAGGGAGCAGCCAGTAGAAAGACGTATTGAAAGTACGGGGAGCGAGGGTGAATTCCAGTTGGTTGAGATTTTGTGAGCGCAACATGGTGGAGGAGAATCGGCATGCGCAAGTGCAGCCGACTATTCCCAGTTGCAGGCTGCACGTGGCACGTGGACGCGAATGTACGCATGTGCATAGAAGACTGGAGGAAGGTCAGCGTGGGCAGCAGGCAGCGCCACACGGCGGCTGTAATCGTAAGCTCGCAAGCTCAGGTGAACGAGCCTGGAAAACATTGTCTGTCGACAATGTTGCCAGATCCTCCTGTCATTTAAACACGTTCGCATCAGGAAATGAAAATTCTCGTTTTTAAAATATCAACGTTGTCAAACAGCCCGATACGAATGAGTTTGACGTATGAGTCTTTTTCCAAAATTTAAATTACTTTTAAATAAAGATTTCTATGTGAATTTGGAAAAAAAATGAAAACAAATAAAAAATATAACAGGTAAGCACAGAATTGAAACGACGCCGTCTTTCCCTGTGGAAGTAAATGCACACTGCTGGTGCCACAGGCAGACGCTGCGTTGCAACGCTGGATAAATATTTTCATAGCCGAGTCATAAGAGAAAAAAAAGAAAAAAAAGAAAAAGAAAAAGAAAGAAAGAAACATGAACGCGGAGAAAATAAACAATTTACAAGTGAGAATATTCATGACAGAGTGCTGGCGCAACAAGGGCGAATTTTAGTGCAAACAGTATGCTTGACATGTCATGAACAAAATGCATCAGTCTCGTTGAAATTAGTGCACTACGTTGCATGTATTACATGCATCATAAAAAGCGAGTAGAACAAAAATTTAATAATAGAGGGAATATTGCAATAGTGTAAACAACAGAACATTTTTCCATATCGAAAATTCCTATGTATTCTCATATCCAGCAATACCGTCGCCTTTGCTCCTTAATACTTTTTAGATTTGTCATTGACACATGGGAATAGAAAAATATCTTAATTAATCCTTTTCCTTTAACTATCGCGCGTCATAGAGAATTCTTCTGTGGTCGAGCAAAGTAAAAAAAATAGTCACGACACGCACAAAGGAAGAAGCTCGGAATGAATTTCTGTAAAGAGACAAATTCATGAAGAAGTGGGTAACGCCGTGGGACGATTCAACATTTTTTTAAAAATCTATCCTGCCCTAGTCCCTTGCCGACATAGGCTCCTTGTTAACTTTCCCAGACAGCATTATTCGCTTCGGGTCAAGCCACCTTCATTCCTTGTCCAGCGTCGTGTCAGAGGTCAGACTCCTCTTGCAGCGCTCAAATTACACACATCGGGAGTTCACGCAAACTTGAGTTGCAGACAATACCTAGTGAAGCGTGCACTTGAAATAAGTGCAAGGAATAATCCCGCCGAGGTTGTGTACATTACGAACAAAGCGAATAGAGTTTGCATCCAGTAGAGACCATAGTAAAACACCATAGGTAAGGAAAGATAATAAGGTATAAAAAGACAATGGAAAGCATTGTACTGTGATCACGGTGTATGTATATTAGCTAAATCGAAAATACCATGATCCCAAAGTGCACATACCTACGTAATGTTGAAAGCATAGAGAATCTTTTACCGAGATTTCACGTTTGTAATGAAGAATATGAATTCCACTGTGGCTTTATCTGCGCGTAATAAAAGGTTAGGTGTGTCGCAGCCAGATATTTGGATAATCCAGGTTGCCAGGGAGATCGCTACTCGTACAGAATTCCCGTCCGATAAACCGCTCAACCGTTGCACATCCCAGAATGATTTTCCAGGACCGAATGCCAGTAAATTAAAGCCGCCATTATGGCTAAAGCATAATTGGTTGCCGAAATATCCTCCAGACAATATTCAGAGAGAAAGGGGTTAAAGGCTGGGTAATTTGGTGGATAATGAACGACCCGCGAAGGTGATAGACAGCTGAACCCGAGTGATAAGAATTATTCTAGGATACAGAGAACGCACGACCGGGCGTTCCTCGTGGCCAGACATGCCACAATCCAGACCGTCTGGCATTGTCATTAACGTTATACCTATATTGATTATCGCGAGGCGTTATTGTTGCCGACATCAAACGCCACTGGCTGTGTCAGTTTTTATGCGAGAAAAGGAGGAGGCCCGTGCAGGGTTCGGTCAGGCTGATGGTTCCCCCGGTACGTTGATGACGTAACGGTCACTGACCGTCTCCCACCTTCGCTTGCAGAAGATACCAAGGAGACTGCGCATGCGTCAACAGGGCTAAAGCTCACCCATCATCTGCCAGATGGCGCGCGTATAGTTCGGAAAGGGCCGTAAATATTAGTACGCATCGCCGCCACGAGGCGTCGGATCTGCGAGCTACGAGTGAGGAACCGCGAGCCGATTACTAGTATCGCAATTTTATTTAGCATTATTTGCGGAACGGCATGTGAGGAAGATACGTTCCCCATATTGTTATTCAACTTTGCAGCCCTTTGCGACCTTTGTATCAACCACCGACTTAAATATCCCCCCAATTATAGGTATCCACCGACTGTACGAAAGGATTCAAAGGTGAAAGAGCACGATTGGAGAATGGCTCATGCTACGTCGGACTTGATATGGATCGAACGGGGACGTACGTATGCTCTGTGTTAAGAGCTTCGCTATTCTCACACAGTGTGGGAATATACAAAGTGCCGGAGAACTTATGCGCAGCGCATGCATACTCTCATTTCTCATAACGCTCTGTAAGAGCATACATACATGTGTGTGAGTCGTGTAAATTTACCCTGGCACAATTGACGCGTCATAATGTCTCTCTCTATCTCTGTGCAATAATAAAAAATAAAGGAGACAGAGTTGGTACGGAACTGACAAAGACGTACAGTGACGTCGATTATGAACGTATGACTTTGTACAGGAGACTGAGCACTTCTTGTTTCTTTGGCGGTATCTCTTTTTTTTCCCTTCCTTTATCACTAGTCAACCGAATGGCAACTTCCTTTCACTTGGCGCCTCGAGACATAGTCAATTCCATGCACATTCTTGACCCAAAGAATGCGTGAAGCGCTAATATACCAATAATTTATGTCCATTGTTAATAAGAAAAATACATTGAAATCAAATTAGGCAAATTGTAGGTACTACAAAAGGTTGTCGACACTGACAAGTATGGAAGATCTAAAGCCGCCATCAAACGGCGTCGGAACCGACGCCGGGAAAGGGACGGAGGGCGAGCAATAGAATCTAGAAGTCCCGTAATAGAGGTACGTGGTATGCTCGTAGTATGGCGGGTATATGTATGTAGAGTGGCGCGGATGTGATACCGCATTCTCCGTTGAAGACATCGCTAATGCAAACTCGTACCGAAACATTACCGTATTTATAGGTTATGGGTGCAACGCGTCGGGTATCGTAGGTTAGTGTGTCCGAGGCAAGATGACGTCGTCATGGTTCTGACTCGGTACGCCGACTATATCCAATCCGGTAAGTTCAAGGAGAGCAGACTGGCATGTTGGGAGACGTGTGTTGAAAAGGAGACAGACAACTGTAGAAGAAGAAAGAGAAAGAGAGAGAAAGAGACGCAGTAAGAAGTGAACCAGGAGAAAGAACTTATGGCTGCCAAGCTACAGCTATTAAAAATACTGTTCTGTTCTGTTCCGTGGCGTTGAAGTCAAAGAAGAAAATAAAACTGTGCGGCCTTGGACTCCCTCCACCAATCACAACGTCCCCTGCGACAGCGTCACCTCCTCCTCCACCAATAACGTTCCTGGCGTTACGTCGCAACTTTAGGAACCCGCGCGCCGCGTATCCTAAACCCGCTGTACAACTTAACGCTCGCCACGGCTGGCCTCTTTTCCATCCATTTGTACTGACTTTTAGGTGAAACGCGACAAGATGATATGCAGAGTACAGAGAGACGCGCAGATTCATTGTAAATTCTATAAAATTGCACTCGTGTCTATTTCAGCCAATGACTCCATTTAGCTTATTTGTCTCTATGTAAGATCCTCTAAGAATGTTTCCTTGATGTAACATTAGATCCTTTATCGGAGTTACATAAAGACTACGTAATCTGACAAAAATCAGACGTCATGTGTTCTTTTGGGATTGACCTCACAGTTCAGAATCATCGTGATAAACCATCATCCGGGTACGTATACTGGACATATGAGAAAGCCAGAAAGCCAAAGAAATGATCAACGAAAATAACGGGACCACACTTATTGGACGTCATCGAGTTGTTAACGTTGCGGCAACGTTTTCTGCATGCTTACTGCGTCTCCAAGAATCTTTTATTTTCCCATTCCTCCTTTACCCAATATCTCGTCTTCTTTTTCCCCCAGGGAATGATGATTCCACTGCCAAATAACCGTGGTCCATCCACGAACCAATATTATTCTCGCATTAAGTTGGCCACAATCATTTCTCCGACCGACAACTACATTTTGGTTTGTTTTTCCATTCCACGCGGCAGTTGCTCTCATTCTTTCTTCCTTCTTCTCTTTTTTTTATATTTCCTTTCTCGCATGACCTGCCATCCGTTGTCGAACTCAGGCAGACTCTACTTCAGGCACGTTTTCAAGGGAACGGAATACGGAATTTTCTCTCTTGGAATACGTAAAATTTCTACAGTATGACATGACAGTGATCGCGATTCAAATACGCAATTATTCAAGTACTGTTGCGCATTATTTCAATAATGCTAGTATAACTCAGTGAAGCCAATGAACTCACATAAACTCAGTCGGACGTTCTGCTCAAAAAAAAGCATCCGAATGACGACTAGTTTCAAATTCTAGTCATCAAACACCTGATACATTGATATTACGCTACACGTGACACTATAGATCCATAAACCTCCTACGCAAACACAGCAATGATTTTCACGCTTCTGGTACAAACATTGAAACTTACTTCATCGTCCAGGCAGGTATACAGGCACATAACCTCAATTTTCGTAGGTCCGCCTACGTTGAGCGCTTGCTGGCTTAGTGTAATTGTATCCTAGTTGACAGCGTCGTTAAATCCAACAGTAAAGGTTCGCAGTTCGCGTCCTGTTCAAGAAGCATCACCAATGGATTGTCTTATGAAATCCCACATGAAGTGTCCCACACAAATCCGTCCCACAAAACACCCTTCTGGAATTTGGTGTCTAATGTCCGTAGATCCATACAGAGCGATGATCAGATAACAATTAGAAAATTGTAGAACGAAAAATAGTCAGTTTGCTCTGCTGGGATAAAAACCAATATAAGAATGTCATACCGCACTAGCACTTGTGTCACGATTACTGATCATCGTCCCTCCGGTTGATTTATTGAACAATACCGAGCGTCCTTTATCGAAATACATATGAAACAAACGTCTTCATATGCATTATCTCGCACGAACAAGAAAGAAAGATGACAAACAATAACGCCGAGACGAGCATCGAAAACTCTTACGAGGTTAAAGATCACGCACGTTGACGTTTGAGGTTAGAATCGACAGGTAGCGGTACTGGTGGACGTTAGTGCGCATGCGCAGTGCCTTGCCATGGCCACGAGAGAAGCACGCTGCCACACGAAGCGCGGGTACCAACGTTTCCTTGTAAGATCACAAGAGAAAAGGGAAAATCAATAGAAACTTTCAATTGCGAATTAATGCGATTATTATTTTTGTTTTTAACTGACCCAATCAATAAACAAATTGAATCGCAGTAACGCTCCTTGTATGTTCATCCATAGATCCATTTCTAATGAAGACAAATCCTATTTTTTCCACCACGAATAAAACGATATAACACGTGTCGCCCGTTTCGTCGGCCTTGTCGGAGTTTACATGGCGCGACCGTTCCCTCGTATTTTCGTTTCATCAATGGACGCGAGAGCGTTACGTGTCGTGGGTACGCTTTCAATAAAGCCGCGTGCGATTTTCGATCGATTCTGCCCTCCTCGTCCTTCCAACCTCTTCCCAATTCTCGTCCCAGCACATTTCTGTGTTAGTCAAGTTTTCACTCTCGCGAGAAGGAAAAAACACCGTGACTTTTCACTATCTAAAATGTCACATTAGCCCAGATTTCAAACTCAATAATACTGCACGAAACTGCTCCTGCAGTGGTCGTAGCACTGAAACACGTGGCGTTACCGATCGTTGGTAAGTCCTTATGGATAATTGAGAACGAGCTATGTAACTGGTTAAAGGAAAGATGGCCTCGGATATATTTGTAGCGTTCGAACGCACCTCGTTTCCTTGCGAGACCTCGAGAAAGATGTAAATACCATGCTAAATGTAGGTGAGAAAATATTTACGAAATTCTAAGGTGAACATCTCATCTCGGCAAAACCGGACAAGACAAGGCAAGTCTTGATCTTGATCAAAAATACAAAAAAAAAAAAGGAAACAAAAACAAGACCGCATAAAACATTTATACGCAAACTCAATTCACACGTAAAACAGTCTAGGGGAATTCTTGTACGTAGAAAGTAAAATGGAGAATGGACCTTTCAAAAACATTCTCTACTTGTAGATAAATTTTAAGTTATAATGGTACGTGATGAAAGATGTATTCAAACAGAACACAATTACTATAGCGATAGTATAGGGAAATGGAAGTCGCAGGAAGTTTGGAAGTTCCAGTGAATCGTTTTATTGACGTGAACGACGTCTGGGTACGTTACAAAGTTAAGGGAAGGAATAAGAGAGACCGCTTTGTCGTTTCATCACGTAACTCGACGATATGCCAGAGAATAATAAATTACTTAGTTGTTGCGCGTTATTAATACGCTCCGCGTGTTTGGACGTGCTGAAACTGAGTTCGACTGATGATATGAGTAAAAACAAAAGGCATTTCGCTGCGAATCTATTTTAAAAAGGTTCGACTCAATTATTACGAAAAACCACGACGTAGCTGGGACAATGAATAATTGAGGTATTTTCGAAAACATTAAAAATTCATAAGGGATAACGTAATACGTAACAGCGTAAGTGAAAAAGACATTTATTGTGACGCAAAAAAATTATCCACGTGATATCTGTGTGTATACGGTTAAAAATGGTGAATGAACGGATTTGACATTGGGAGCGATAATATTCTGTCAATGAAAATTGCCTTTGTCGAGGAGAGAGATCAAGTCCAAGACACGCGTGTGATACCCTAACGGAAGTGGTGGTGTACCGCAATTTTCTTATAAGTCCAACCGGCTTCTAATATACATACGTATAACAAACGTGACTGTGGATGTGTGCAAATGCTGTTCAACTAGACGTTTGACAATACAGAGAAGAGCGAGTACTGATAAGAGATGCAAAAGTGAGACCTCGAAATAGAAGATAAGAAACGTCAGGGCTGGAGAGCAGCAGCCAGGAACGTATAGAGACGTAGTAGCCCCGTTTTAACCAGCTGAAACGTATGCGCCGAGAGAACTAGATAGAGGGAGGTGGTCTTATCGAGACAAACATTACCGGCTGATAACGATAAGCCAACTGTCTATCTTCTTTAAACGCATCAGATACGCCTATTCTTTCCTGGAACGAAAGTTGTTTTTAGCGACGTGCGAAATGAGGATGTTTCCAAGTCAGTTTATTTAATTGGTAAGAAGCAGACTGTGTTTATAGGCAGACGACGGTGACATCAGTCTGGAAGCTTTACTCTCGGCAACACTAGATTCGTATATAAAAAGCATAGCTATCCGATACCACCTGAAATTCCCTATAAAAGTTTTAAATCATGTCCAGCATCGCTAGGGAACTTACGCTTTGTGTCCGACGTCAAAGCGTCGGCGGAATCGCCCCACGCGGCAACTTCCCGGTGTTGCTGAACTCGACGTGTATCCGAAAATCAAGATGGCCCCCACTTCGTGCGCTCTTGCCGAGCCGAAGAATCCCGAATGGGCCGTCGGGTTTCTGAGCGCACATAATAGATACAACTCATGACGGCTCGACTCGGGTATTTCCGTCGAGGTCCGAGGGCATCCGAGTGCCCATCTAAGAGAGTCCAACATTTCTTGTGGTCTAACTCGGGCACCGACGGTGCCTATACGGCAAGACAACTCCTCATGGCGTGTCCAAGCAAAGTGAAAGAGTTCCCAGGAATCCTGGAATCTTTTTTTACATTGTCCAGGAAACACGGAATGATACCGACCTACCGAATACCCTTAGAAACACGAAACACCATTCCTTCTCGTATAGAGATCATCCTCGAGTATAATATAACCTTTTCTATAGATTGGCATGACTTACCTATGCAGCTGAACAGGGGTAGACCTCGCTGGAAGGTGCTGGTTATGTGGGGGTGGTGGCTGCGGTTGATGCGATTGGGCCTGACCTCTGGTGGGGGTAGCCGTAGTTACTAGCGAGTGGCCATGGCCCTCGTGGGGGTGGGGGTGGTGATGCCGATGCAGCTCTCCCCCCACTGGGCCCACCGGGCCCACGGGACCCCCCACCCCCAGTCCACTCACTACCTGGACTTGCTTGCCCACTGTCTCCATCACCCTTAGCGCATTATGTGCTGCAACAGAGAAATAACAATGTGGACTTGGTTCGCTCCGTAAAGAATTTCAAATTATATTTAAAAACTTGAAAGATTACTCGGAGCCATGCAACTTTAATAAATATTCAATCCATAGATCGAACACTGTGTATGTACATACACTCATGCCAATCCGTCTCATAGATCTAACCGGTACATCTGAGAGACACTGCTGCTCATCGCGATAGGGTCTTTTCAACTGCTCGTGTTAAGGCCCCAGCAATGGACACCCATTGCGTACACATACGCATATAACTGCACAAGTATATTCGACCAACTAACGAACCAACAGTCACGATTATTTACCCGTACTGACATCAGCCCAGGGACCATCGATCTACGCCCTAGTATAAATCAGCAAAGATATTCTTTAATTAACAGTAAGTCCCACGCCTATGGCTGTGTCTATATGCCGTCTGTTTTCAATTCTATAATAATAAAATTACGTGAGATTTTTAAACAGGTCCGAGACTGCCAGGAAATGGTGAAAAAATAAAAACAGAGATCGTGACTAAGTGAAAAAGAAGAGGCGCAAAATCGTCTTTAGAATAGAATACGTACGGTCAAGGAATGAGGAAGAAAACGAAAGAGCGTACCGATCAGATATATGTATACGGATGCCAATAAAATGAAATAAGAGTGACGCTGCGAATGGCGCCATTGCCTTTTCATTTGACGTCGCTACGCCATGCTGGGCCGATGCACACGGGAGGCATCGTAGAAAAATATTACGTCGTCGAACCTAATGTACAAGGACGAGTGAAGGGTGAGAACTGGGATATCGTCCGTCATCGTATACCCGAAACGAGCTACGAATTCTTAATGCATAGGATGTTCTTGTATGTTTTTTCTTTATCAAAAAAGCCATGCTTGCGTATTTGGTACTCGTGACAAATTACGTTTTGTCCGAATAGATTGTGATAACAATATTTTTAATTATCAGGCTAGAACATGTCAAAGACAAATAGAGAATGTTATATAGGAAAAGAAGAAGAAAAAAAACACAAGAGAACCTAGAGCTGCTCGGAATAAAATAATATTCAAGCCATCCACGTGATAGAAATTTGCCAAGAATCTTTTAGAAGTTCGATGTTCTTCAACGTGCCTCGTGTTGGAAAATGTCACGAGGACGAGTTCGCCGATCGGTAAATTAAAGTTTCAAGCGGGTTTCCGTATAGCCGCCATGTCTGGATGGGTAGCTGCAGGAGAGTAGACACATACTGCACAAAGGAGAGGAGATGGATAAGGAGAGCGATATACCGATGAGACGAGGTAGCGCGTGAGAGAGAGAGAGAGAAAGAGAAGAGGAAAAGTAAAGAGCCAGCAGAAGAGTCCATACATATGTATATATACATGGCCATCCATAAAAGCAGAGGTAATTTACACTTATACGTGTAGTCACATGCGCGAGTGAGGAAGACAGCTGTTTCGTCAGATCGCAGGAAAACGGCGGGAACTTGCCGAGAATACCCGATTCCCACATCGTTAAAGTCCGTTGCGATAGAATTGCTAAATTTTCATTTAATCTATCATTGCCAGTTCTTCGTTATCTTCTATCATCTGTACATGAACACTGAAAAGCTTACGGGAATACCGGACGGTTCTTCTACTATATAAAAGAGCATGTGGGTACTTAGCGTGGTTCATTTAAAAAAGTATTAAGCACATCTACGCGGTCAATGGCTCAACTATGGGCTGCCAAGCAGCATTTAATCCGTCGCGAATTTCACGAGCGGTTCAATTACGAAGGCATGATGCACAACTTAAAAACAAAACATCTGCAGTTTCCCGTGTCAGGTAAAACTGTATGGGAAAGCATTCTTGCGCAAGAACTAGAGGCAAGTACACATCAATGTCATTGATAACGCCCACGTACTGAACCAATGGCGATAGGCTTACGTTACGTTTATTTATAGATGAGGTTTTAATCGGCCTCGTCAGATCTCAGGGAAGAGACGTAGATAAGGTCCGAGAGGTTTAAAGTGAACTCAGGTAGGATTACGTTTTTCCTGGTATTCCGTTCACGGGAACGGGGGAATGGGAGTCTTTCGAGATATCAAGGAACATTCGCAACGGCACACATAATCTGATGTATATAAATGGATAATTGTAAAAAATATCGCGTAATATAAAGTCAATATTTGTGATCTTAAACATCGTAACGAAGAGACGAAGAACAAACTCGAAAATATTTGTTTCACTTTCGAATATGATTCACGTAGTCCTGGGATACATCGGCACCTGAACTAAAGGGGACGTACTACGAGCAGCGCGCATGCGCACTGCCTGAAAACAGTCTGCAAGAGCCCAGCGGCCGAGAATTAACACGAAGCTGTGCGCTGGTGAATAATGCTGAGAAATAGGAAGGTTCATAACGTATTCGATATAACAAAAAAAATTACTAGCACTGCTACAAAGAGTTTCTTGGTGAACGATCAATCACAGTACTCTGATCAAAGATAAGGCGTCTGTATTGCAGGTGCAGAGTCTTGCGGCAAATAACCAATCAGCCGGGTGGGGCACATTCAATCGTGGAGGATGTTCGATAAAAAGGAGAGGCTGCCGTGCTAGACTTTAAGAAACTATGGCATTGTGTCCAACGAAATGGCAACGCTGGGAAGTACAAAAGTTTCGTATTATGAAAAAGTCATTACAAATCGTCGTTACGTTCGCCTTCCTTCAATGTTGCCGAGTGTCTGTTGGTTGGGCATTAGCCGTTGCTGAGTTCACAGAAGCCAACCGGCTGACTGACTAGTCACACTAAAGCTACTTGGTTAGCTAACTAACTAAATAACTAACTGACTGACTGACTATCTATCCAACTTGACTAACTGCTAGTCCTTGCAGCATTCAATTCGATACTATGAGATATCGCGTATTACCACTTGTTTAACCATGACTCATTCGTTAAGCCCCGACGTGCTTGACGCCAGGACGTACTCAGTCATCTCCAGGATACAGCGCTCTTGAATCTTAAGCGTAAGGGGCGAGGTCCATTAACCAAAAAGATTCAAGCGAAAAAGACTAGACGGAATATTTGCAGGTAAACAAATCATATTCTAAATATACATTTAAAAGCAGACATTTCTACAGTGACAGCCATGCTGCTACGAATGGCAGATACAAAAAAACAGTTGAGAATATTTTCCGCTCGAAATTCCAGCCTTCGATCGGAAGTCAGTCGATAAAGGGCGTTTTACTTAAATTCAGGAAAAACTTGCTGGAAATATTAAAGCTGAACTGCTGTGCCCTATTGGCTCTGTGAATATACACAGAGACAAGAGAGCTCTACGCATTCAACATGACTTGCATAAGTATACGGAGTTACTGTGTGCCGTGGGTATACACGAAGGCTAGAGAAGGAAGAGAAGGAAGAGCACGGAGTGCCCGTGTGGGTCTCTCGTACAGTACGGTATATATATATATATAGCACCAGGTATCGACCGACTCGTCAGGGGCGTAGCTGAGAGGGGAGATAGGGGTTGCAGGCAGTAAGAGGTTATACGGTGGAAAATACAGAGAGGGAGGACAGGAGGAGAGTGAGTACCAGAAGAAGGGATGAGAGTGGTTAGAGCGAGAGGGTAGGAGCTAGAGCGCCTCTATCTCTACCTGAAAAAAATCCCAGACCACCCCTCCCGGGTCTAGGAAGAATCGCCAATAACCTTTGTCACTTTGGAACTTTTTACCTTTCAGCCTATTGAACCTCGCAGGAACGAATATATCCCCTCGACCTGCTTCAGGCCTATTTCCATTGCCTGATTCGTATATTCCCGCCTACGTGTTCTCTATTCATCTCCAACGCTAAATAAACTCCGTACGTACTACAAGCATACGTATATTCCAAGAGACGATTCAGTCAGTCAAAGATGCCTATAGCCACGATGGAGGAAGATCCCCGTAACTTAATAGAAACGGTCACCATGCGATATTCCTTATCAATCATATCTCTCGAAGAACCCCCAGTTTCAGTATAGTCAGGAATAGTCGTCCTGGACGACGTAGTCGTAGAGAGAATTGTATATTGGATATACCCGTCCTATAGGCATAGGGAAAATAGCATACGTCAAAGCATAAATTCTATAGGCCGTACGCGTTAGTAAATCTACATAGACGGAGACACTGCATATTGAAAACCATTGATTAGAAAACGATATTAAGAGTGATAACGTTAAAAGAAGTCAATCTCTTCCCGTGTACCATTGCCGTACTATTGGCATGCTACTGGCCAATGCCAAATGGTTAAGTTCGGTAGTCGCCTCTGTACGAAGAACACTCGCGTGAATACGAATTTAGACGATGCATTCTACACGGTTACGTCATCCTCCCTTTTCAGCTAAAGCATCTCCGTGATGGACGTACTGCTCCACGCACTATACTCACTGTACCAAACATTTATTAAACCTCTTAGTCATCCTGACGCTCATCACCGTGCTGTTACGACGTCTGATAACCCAATCAGAGTTTTAAAAACCTGGAATCCATTCAAGCCACAGGAATGGTCAGAGGACACGGAGACGCATCAGAAAATAGTATAGAAATATCTTGTACCTCAGAGACAAAGAATCTCAGTGAAACGCTTTCAAGAATGGTACTACGCCATGGATATTCTCTCTCTAGTCACGAGCAACTGGATTTTCTAGAGTCATCGGAAAATACGTGAAGGACTCTGCATTAATTCTGTAATTGAACGATGCTAGCACAATCATCTACTGCACTGCGATATAGCAGCTGGAGGACATGGATCAGATGGACGAGATGGATGACAAAGGCCATCACGAGCGATTACCGACTGAGCTAATACTAAAGGCGCATAGACAATGGGAAAACTCACCGATAATGACGTCAGCCGTGGCAGGAAGGAACTCGAATTTCCTTAGGAAGGTGGTCGAGCCTCAGCGACGACGACACGTGCAAGACGTGTGTGCGTACACTCACTCAAATAAGGTTCCTCGCACAAGGTACCTCACCAGCGTACTTCACTGTACACACACAATATATATGTATATTTATAATAGCATACAAATATATATATATACTCACGGTATATATATATATACATAAACAACCTTTTCTTTTTATGTACTTCTTTTTTTTTTCAATTATTATTCCCGAATATAATATCTTTAAAGAGCTCGCGCCACCTGTTATTTAACGCTTTTAATAATTTTACCTCACTGTAAAAGTGTCGCTTATTTTTTAGCTGTAAATTTTTTTCCTTCTCTGTTTCTCTCTCTCTCTCTCTCTCTCTCTCTCTCTCTCTCTCTCTTTCTCACCTCGTCCTCCCCTTTGCTCTCGGTCACCGTTTTTTTATTCCTATTTTTACAAGACTCCTCTAGCCACACGACATATCAGGTTTACCCGCGGCCTCCTTTTTACTCTCTCACAATCTATACGGTCAACGTACATGTATAGACATTTAGGATACTCTTGCACTACACCCGCGTACACACATGAAACACGTCGGAGAATCTCCACGTGGATCCTTAATTTTTCTATTCTACCTCTCTCTCTCTCTCTCCTCTTTCTTCGCTCGTTCCCTCTTCCTCCTCCAAGGTAACGACGTTATCGTGACACGGGATGAACGCCTGCAGCGGCGGGAGGGGGAATGAATACAAAATATTTTCGGCTTCGCTTCCAAATAGTCGTTGGCGTTAACACGCGAATCGTTCAGTATCTAAGCACAGAGCGACATACACGTATCACATATCCCCACAGTAACACGCACTCTTTTTGTTCCTCCTCTAAAACGTATCTCGCATCCTCACGCGGATATCTATACACAACAGCAAGCAGTCGTATCGTTGACCGTGCCCGTTTAAAAACAAAAGGGTACGAGTAGAACGGGATATAGGTGTACGTACATACATATACTCATGTACATATAGTAGAACGGTAAAGAGTAATGGAGTACGTTGTTGTTCTCGGGAGATGGACAACAATGGTCAGCGGGAGAGGTTAGTGAGATTTAGAATTGAAGAAGAGGGGGAGGGGGGGAGGTGGATGGAGAGCGTGGATAATCTTCTAATAAAACTGCAGGCTCAGGTTGATAAAGAAAAATAAATGGCAGGTACCAGAACTCCGTATAAGACAAGGTCCTGATTAGCAGGGACCTTCCTGATTTGCTGTGAAATGCGGTGCAAGAATCGTCAGGTTAAGATTCAGGTGAAGGGGTGCGAGGATAGGGAACAGTTGAGGAAGCAGCAATCCCCCACCCCCCCTGTGCACGACTCGTGCTGGATGACAATTGGGTATCGGAGTAGAACGAGCTAGCCAGTTCCTTCCTTGATCAATCAGTACGCGCCCCTATCACCGATTAGGCGGCGCGCGATCCGCCCTGGCCTCTCTGGCGACTTCCGGTTTTCCCTGTCGCCCAAAAGTCCGCATATCTCGTCGCGACGTCCACGTGTCGCTGATTTTACTCAGCGGCGTCGAGGCACCACGACGTCGCACTGCCATGGAGACACTTGGCACTTCGCGGCGCACGCACCGGCCACTCGCGACTCGCCCTCGTCGTCATTATCCATCCGGGAGGATGTCCTCGTCCTCAGCCTCATCCTCATCCGGGGCTCCCTTAATACCTCACACAGAGCCTCAAACACTGCGCGCTACGTGTACGAACAGACCCCTTTGATCCAGGGTTGATAACGAAGGCAAATATCTCCTCTTGATTCTCAGTCGTCTCGCTTTATCGGCCGGGGATTGCTGCTCTGCTGCTCGGTGTCCCTCAAGATCCACCGGGCCATACCTGAAACCCAGAAAACGACTCTGATTAAGAACGGGGGAATGGATCACGTGAAAATATATGATACTGGTGAGAATTATTTTTAAGATTACGTTTATAAATACTTTTTCAACATTCGTTACACCTTTTTTTTCTTTTTCTATTTATAGGGATCGTGCGAGCTATATATAGTAGCAAGTTTAGGCTGTGTTCCAAAACTTTGCTCCAATGTACGCTGGTAGTTTTATATATATATATATATCTCTCTCTCTCTCTTTCTCTTGCTCTCGCTTAGTCTTAGTGCCGGTACAAGAGACACAGAGATGCCTGAGCGCAACCAAGAACTTTTGGGGATAGGTCCCATAAAGGAGTATATGAAGATAAGGAAGAAATACGAATGTAAGTAATAAGCACAAAGAGGGGACTATAGAGGCAGTTCCGGATATTAAGTGCGCAATGGACTTCTCTCCTGTTCTTATGGAACACCTTACGTTATGGTGACCTGGGATATTCTAAGTGGAGAGGCCCTTTAGAGTTGAGGGATCTACTGGATGGAGGCGGCGTTACGCGACGATGGATATCCATAATGCCGAGGATCATCTCCGGCTTAGTAATAGCCTGGATATAATGGAGGTAGGTTAAGGAAAAAGAAAAAGAAGTGAGAATAGAAAAGAGAAGGACGAAACGTCGAGGAAATACTATCGACGTAGTCTACGTAAATGAATAACATGAGGAAGATTAGAGTGAGCAAACATCAGACAGAATTGAATGCATGACGACTGGACGGATTCCTATGCTAATAACTCGTCTCCACGCAAGTGCCTATCGCGATCCGCTGTCCTGACGTAACGCCTTAACGTCGCTAGCCCAGAAATTCGATCTTGCGAGAACACCGAGGAGATACGCCTTCCTCCAGGAGTTGCTGCTTTAAATTTAGTCACTAACTGCGCAAATAGAAGTCTCGAGATCAGCCGATATATGTATAGCGTTTTACGTAAACACCATAGAATCAAAATAGCCTCCCCATGACTCGAAAAAAAAAAAATACCACTCATTAATCTGTCTGGTAGCTAAAATGTTTTCTACTTGACCGACGAACTCTCGGAGTCATTTCAAAATAAACTCCTTTTACCGACCGAGGGCATCGTAAAAGTCGCCAAAAATATTCATATCGAAGGACAAAGCCGACCATGGGGCTGGTTTCAGACTATGTAACTCACAACTTCGAAGGAGCTTGAGACTTCTAACGATCCCTGGGAAGATTTCGTAGAAGGACCTTGAAGCAATGACAAGATGGATAATGTAGAGAGAGAAAGAGAGGAGAGTGGGTGTAATATAGAAGAAAAAGATAATTATATTGAAGAAAAAAAAAAAATCTGAAGGAACAGGCAAAAAACGACTAGCACGACCTCCAGCAGCTGGTCTGTCGTTCCACGTACACTGTGTACGTCCTGAGTTCACAGTGAAAAAGGGACGCAAACGTCGTGAGACACGCGGTAGAAAAACAGGACCACCGTTAAATGCTGGATAGAATCGACATGAACGTGGTGGCTCGGCCTCGCGACAGCATTAACACGCCATCGTGGCCTACCCACTGTGTGTACAGTAATACGAGTTACGCCTCGAAGGAATAACGGTACATCGCCAGTAACGAGACGAAGCTTACTGCCCGAGTGGGGTACGGAGTCAGCAGCAAGCAGACACAGAGAGATCGACGTAGAACTTAGATAGAGTCGAATGTACATACGTGGATGACATCATAGAGACTAAAACCATGCTGAATAAACTATATAGAGAGAGGAAATACAAACGAAGAACTTATATGGACATTTATACATTTTGTCTATTTAATCAGGATGGGATGCGTCGCAGATTGGCAATTTGTGAATGCATCTGTTTTTGACTTTGCACATTATTTCTCTATCTTTCAGAATTTTTATCTCAACGTTGCTTCCCGCCTAAATTCACGATCGAAGTCTACTGCGCCACAATGCTCGGCACCCCCCTGGTAGTTTGCTTCCAGTGTTTGACGTTCTCTCCCTAACCGTGAAACCGGGCTTCACTTACACTTGCTAGTTGCGACCCTATAGGTCCCCTCCCCCTCTATTTCCCAACAACCCCCCAGGCACAGTGAAGCGTAGCAAAGGAATCTCTCTATCTCTTTTTAACCCTCCTTTAACGTTACATTTGTTCAGCTAGTTTTCAATCGTTTGGAATATTTGCTCGATATTCACAGACTCGACGATACACTCAGGATTACGTTGGAGATGCATTGGGATCCGTTAATTAATATCTTTTTCAATTAGACGATTCTCTAGGCTAGGGACTTTTGCGTGCAATTCCCTAGGTGCTGTGTTACGTAAGCATGACGCTCTGTTAGACTCTTAAAAGGAACGTACGATGCATTCACGCGCGCCACTGCCAATGACGTTTTTATTATGTCCCGTTTCACTTTAGCTATGGAAAAAAAGGAACTGGATAGGAAAAAAAAACTTCTACCTTTCTCGCGGTTCGGTTTAAAACGTTTCTCACGTCCGGCGTTCGACCCGCGCCAGTGATGCCACGCTCTTATCCGGAATAATAATATCGGACACGACGAGAACTAGTCTATAGTACCTTTCTCATTAGGAAAGAATAATACTTGTCATTGTACTACGTAAGTCACTAGTCTTTCAAAGGCTCGGGCCTCTACAGAGATACGATACTCTTTATTTTCACCTATATTCCGAAGAATTTCAAGATCCTCCACGCAGATAGGATACGCATAACCTCTAATTGGAAAATTGGATATACCTCCGTTACGTGAATTCGAATTTTTATTCGATAGCTGTGCCAAATGACGCACTGAAAAGAAAAATTAAAAAAAGGAAATATAAAAGGAAACGAAAGGAAGATCGTTTTTTAGAAATTCGTCTATCATTCCCTTAAAGTATGAGGT